TAACTACCTCATTGCTTTTAGGTCACGTGAGCTGTGCTCAAGTGACCTATACTAATCGCTTTCCGTCCGTCGTCGTGCGTAACCTTTTTACATTTTCAACTTCTTCTCAAGAACCATTCGATGGATTTTTTTCAAACTTGGTCAGAATCATTCTTGTTAGATGAGGCTACAAAATTGTAAATTTCAGGACCCCCCAGCTATCCGTTCTCCCTTGGGGAGGGGGTAAAGTTTACTATAGTTTATATAGGGAAACGCCACTTTTGGGTATATTTTGACAATTTTCTGTTGGAAATTATTTTTACTTGGTCAGAATCATCTTTGGTGGATGAGGGTATCACATTGTAAACTTGGAATTCCTGCCCATCCCCAGGGGTTAGAGCGGGGCCCCAAAGGGAACATTTACAAATATTTTAAAAAATTTGTCCCTTCAGGTAGGGCGTAAGAATTGTATTGCTGCCCCCAATTGCATGATCGTAAGAGGCGACTAAATTTGGGACCTTATCTCTTCCCTCCTTTCTAAATAACTTTCTTCTTCCTAATGTCCCCCTTGACAATGCCTCACTTTTGGCCATTTGTTGAGCGTTCACCCTATGAGGAAGGCTTTGGGTTCTGTCCCCTGGCCGAGACATACCAAAGTCTTTAAAAATGGTAGTTTCTACTCCTGCTTAACGCTCAGCAAATTAGGAGTGGGACGACTGGTTCGCCCGTTGTCAGTATAATGTGACCGGGTGGGGCGTCCTGCTGGGTGTCTTCGGCAGNAAAATCAAACAAACAAACTTATCCTTTGATGACATGACACGTATTGTATTTCACTTAATTTACATGCTGATTTCCACATCACATCTAAACAATAAAATAAAGCTACCAGTACCTATGATATAACTCAGTGACCGTTAAGGCCCTTGGGCCTCTTGTTGGCTCACCTGGTCGAGCTAATGCCATACCGCAGCGTCCGGCGGTCAACTTTTCTTTTAAAACACTAGTAGTCATGAACGACTAAGCAGATTTTGACCAAATTTGGTCAGAAGCATCCTTGGGGGAAGGGAAACAAAGTTTGTACAAATGGTGGGAGTTTGGGCCTAGGGTCGGGGCCCAATGGGGAAATATAGCAAATTCTTTAAAATCCTTCTTACTCTGTAGGAATGAAAGGATTTGTTCCATATTTAGTTTGAAGCATCCGTGGGTAAAGGGGAACCGATTTTGTATAAACCGTTGGCGGAACCCAATAGGGGGAAACATAGCAAATTCTTTAAAATCCTTCTTCTGTAGGAATAAAAGGATTTGTTCCATATTAAGTTTTGAAGAATCCTTGGGTAAAAGGGAACCAATTTTGTATAAAACATGGTGGGTCTTGCCCCAGTTGTTGTTTAAACAAAAAGTTGATGGACGACGGACGGACGCCGGATGACCATTGTCGGAAAAACATGCATGCTGCATGAACATACTACAGAAGACGCCCATCAGGACACCCCACGCGGTCACATTATACTGACAACAGGCGAACTAGTCGTCCCACTCCTAAATTGCTGAGCGTTATTAAGCAGGAGAAAAATCTACCATTTTTACAAACTCTGATATGTCTCGGCCAGGGGACAGAACCAAAAGCCTTCCGCATATGAGCGTTCACTAAATGCCTAAAATGAGGTAATGTTAAGGGAGACATTAGGAAGAAGAAAGTTGTTAAGAAAGATGAGAAAAGAAAATCTCAAATGTATTCGCCTCTTAAGATCATGGAATGGGAGCAGCACGTACAATTCCTACTTCGGTGTTGCTGCCGGTGTTGGTGATGCGTGTGTTGATCTCGGCGGTTTTGGTACTGCTGCTGCTGTGGCTTAGACTGATCTCTGCCGACACCTCTGTCTTAAGGTTCTCTAGGTTTGTTAGTTGCTATATCCGACACAATTTTGATAAGAGATATCTGCCTCTGTTGTGCAGTCAAGTTCTGCTTTTATGTCTAGGGTATCTTGCCAATAATTTTCGCTCTTAGGCTGGGTACCACTATTTAGACTTAATAGTCCTCTGTGATGCTGCGGCAGAGGTGTTTACAGGTCGGGAATCGAGAAAAGAATACACTCGCTGTTACCCACTCACTGCATGTATCGTAAGAGGCGACTAATGAGTAAACCCCACTACCATAATTGGGTACTCGCTTTCGTGCCCTTTTGTTTTGGGACACAAAAGCGACCAAATAAATTTGCTGCACCCATTGCAATATTTGGTATCTTTATATTTCTCTCTATTTCTAACAACCTTTTATTTTCTAGCGCCTTGCTTGGTCACACCTCAGTTTTGGATTTATGTTGAACGTTTGCCCAGGTGTGAAAAAGGCGATGGGTTATTTAAAATGAATCATTTATATAAATAATCAATAAGTTAAAAACGCAACTATTTCTGATATTTAGACAAATTAAGACTTCAATTTCTTTAATATTTATCCAAATATAATTTTATAAAACTTCATAAGTTGAAGCAGAATGAAATGCAGAAAAATAAGCAAAAAGACATTCAGGAAATATTTGTTAATGATGACACGTACCGTAATGTCTCTTACTGGCATTTTGGTAATGCCTGGTATCACCATTGAGGTACTTCGACTCGCAACTCTCGAGTTATCAGAGTTATTTATAACTGGGGCAGTCAAACGCACAGGGTTGTTACTCTAGGGTCCTAAAAATAGATTTCAGACGCCAGGTGAAGATCGTTTAAGGAACTCTCGATTTGGGAGAGTTAGGCGGGAGTTAAGATGGCGGACGAAGAAAAGGAATGCGACATGCGGGTTTAGATAATTTTGTATTCTGAGTTGGAACAAATTGGAAAATTCCCTCATACTTTCTTTGTTACTCATGTACCATTAGTAAAATTTTCTAAGGCTCGTCTTGATCCGTACCACCACCGTGATCACTGATAAGACTTGGTCCAACTATTTCAAGTATTTTCTCAAACATTTCTCTTTGAAGTCTCAAGTGTGTCTTAAAATCATCAATGGAATAACGAGGCACAAGTGTCTCTGCAAACATTCCAATTATTGGCACCTGCTCCCTCATGTGGATCTTCGTACGGTGAAGTAAAATTGCGAGGTTTTGGCGCTGTATGCACATATTATTTCGTCGGCAGCCAAAATTTCATCCAGCACATAAAATAATAAACGTTTGCCGCCATATTAACTCGATAGTAAAGCATTTGATTGGCGGCGAGTTTGGCGTTACTATAAATAACCAAACCCTTGCACGAGAGTTGCGAGTCGAAGGCAGCCTCGGAGAGTTCAGTGACGTCACCAATAAGTCACGTGATATATTGGTTGGCAAAAAAAGGTTGGCTTGGGCAGTTTGCCATTAACAATTTCTCACTAATATCTATAGCAATGGTTGTTTCGTGTTGTGTGATCGGCTGTACCAATAGGTTTTACAAGAATGATTCAAAGAGCTTCTATCGTATTCCAAAGAACCCGAATCACGCAGAAAGCTTTGGATTTCCGCAATAAAACGTGACAATTGGGAGCCTACTGACAACGATCGTGTTTGCCTTTGTCACTTCATAACTGGTAAGACATTTTTTACGTAATATTTTTTTTGCTTTTTGTCTGATTTTCAATTTCTTGAATGTATGTAGTAATAACGTTAGTTTCAAAAATGTCGTTTATTGTGCTTTACATGCACCGTATGCACGGATAACTGGGGTCTTTTAAAATGATATCTCAGTACAGTAGCCCATGTAGTTACTCGCCCAAAAAAATGTTTCCATTTTGCCGAGTAAAAAAAGGTGATTGTTTGGGCTTTAATTTTTGTAATTCGAATAGTGTTAGTTATTAAATAAAAAAAATCATACCAAAAGCTATGGCGACACTAGTCCAGACTTCACGTCATCAGTCCATATGGGATATCAGGAAAGTTACACAAAGGGTGAGCTGCGCTTTGCTCGTTACCAGAGACAAAGCAGAGAATGCAGCATCAGCACTTTAAGACCTTTCCAACATTGATAACTTCCATATATCCCCGTCTACACCGACACCAGAAGGTTTGTTTGTTATTGAATATAGTCGATTGTCTTTTTTTCTCTCAAAGATAGAATGTAGAATATTTGCAAGAAAATGAAGTACTATTTTCCCCACTTACTTGTATCTAAATGTGAAATTCGGTTTAATGTATCCTTGGTCATTTTGATGATTACCCCAAAGAAATAAATACTGGTGGGGTCAAAATTGTCATCATACACTATCTGAATTACCTAATGAAATTAGGTAACACTTGGTGTGAGGAAATCTCCTGCACATGTCCACTAACTACATACCTGCAATTACAAAACAATCATTTTCATTATTGAGACTGACAGATTCTCACACATTTATATGATATATAATTAAACTGCTTTTTGATTACATTACAGGACGGTATTAATTGAAATTTAATTTTCTCTGCACAATATAACATTGAATAGTATTTCATCTACTGTAAACAGTATGGGTTTTTTAAATTCAGAAAGCTTTAAAGCAACAATTTTGTTTTAACATTGTACATATTGGGGGTTGGAAAACAAGCCACATAATAAAAATATAGTGGTAGAGGATCTACAATTTTTCAGGATTTTATAGAAAAACTTTTTGCTGGATATATATAAGACCCAGTGGTAATTCTATAAAACATGGATCAAATAGTACAAAATATGTATCTGTTATCTTTCTTTTTGACACTTTATTTTGGCTGGTCGATGGTACAATTTTTATTATACAGTATGATATATGACACCATCAGACTTGAACATACAGGTATCAAAATTGAGGGGTCAAGCACACGCTTACAGAAACCGGGAAACAGGTAAATCAAGTATAAATGGACAATGGAGTCACCCATGTAGGGCGAGACATGGCACGTGATACAACATCGCGTCTTCCTGGAAATTTGCAATCAGCTGATAGGTAAACAAACTAGTAATATCCGTTTGATTTACTTACCATCGATCAACAAAGTTGTAACAACCAAACATATATAATGAAACACACTTACATGTATGCATCTAGCGACTTGTACGCTTTCATAGACTCCTTGGTGTAAATGGAAGGTGTGTCAATTTTTTTCATTTCAACATATTTTATTGACATAGAAGAATGTTACACTGTCAAAAGGATTGGACAACAGGCTTATAGCCTATATAAGTCCTCTCCATTGATGGTAGGTATATGGACATAATGGATTGAATTTATAATAATAAGATTTTGCTTACTGTCAAAAATTAACATTTGTAAATCTAATTAGATATTTACATAATTAAGAGGTTATTATATAAAATATGGTGTGGGTGGGGGAAGGGGGATAACTCCCATAGAATAGTGTATTAATTAGATTTGGTCTGCAATATACAATGTAGGTAAAATATATATATATATATTGGTTATAGACCGCATATACATGTAGTATACAAGCTTTAATATCAGATTGAAGACCGCACAGTCCTTGTGTTACGTTTAGGTCTTCAACTGAACACTGTACAGGATCCATAGTAAATATTATTGCGGTATAATTCACAGTAATGCATTTGAGTACATATATGGAAAAATTGCAGATCTAAAGTATGTACACTAAAAATTAAAGATATAAGTAGTATGGGAGAATATAAAAGGAAAGCATAACAATATCACGATAACCAGCCAGAGATGCACTCCTGTACGAATGGATGTTGTTTTTATAAATAAGTGTTATTATCTACAAATATATATACATGTGTATATATATTAACTCAAAATGTGTCAAGTTGCCTGGTATTATACTCGATATTCAACAAATCTTTTAGTTTTAACTATATATTTTAGGATAGAGCTAAGAATTTCCATATTTACACCTTCGTTACATGTTTGACAGCCATATAGTAAGTTGGTGAGATGAAAATGGTTATGGTTTCCAATAAGTTCAAGTTCATTTTTTAGTAATGCTCTTTGGACTGAAAACAGAGGACAGTGAAGAAAAAAATGTGAGACAGTTTCATGGTTTAAATCACAAGAACACACAGGATTATCTTTTAAATGATCAATATATAGGTCAAAATTTAAGTTGCTACATCCATTTCTAAGTTGACAAAGTATGATATTACCCTTCCTTGATCCTTTATTTTTGAATACATTTGAAACGCTCACATCTTCCTCTTCACTGATATTTGACATGTTTATAAGTTTCTTAAAAATGTTAAGGGAGGTTGCTTGTACTGTAGTAGGTGAGAGTTTATTAAACTCGCGGAGCATTGAAGGAAAAAAACTATGATAGTAGTTGTTTGATCTACAGAGTGGAGGGCTAAATATTCTATTTCTACGCAATGAATGTATATTTGCTTCATTATTGTTAATAAAAGGGATGATTGATTCTTGCAAGTATAAAGGTGCATGGCCATGTAGTATTTTGTACATTAATATCAATTGATGATTTTTCCGACGAATTTCTAATGGTTCCCACCCTAATTCCCTATAAAGTAAGTGATGTGATGTTCCTCTTCTCAGCCCTGTTATAATTCTTGCTGCTTCCAGGTGGATAGATTCTAGTAATTTTTTTAGTTGGGTTGTACAATTATTCCAAATTACATCAGCATATTCAAGTAAAGGTCTTATGAATGCAAAATATATTTTTATAAGAGTTTCTCTGCTAAGTTTATATTTCAAACAGCGTAGTATATTTATTCTAGTATATGCTTTTTCATAAATAGTTTGTATATGGGATTCCCAGGTACCATTTTCATTAAGAGTTACACCTAAGTGTTTATGAGTGGATTCATTAGAAATTACATCATTTTGAAATAAAATTGGTGGTAAAGCAACTTCTTTTTTCCTGGAGAATAATACAGATTTTGTTTTTGTTGGATTGAAATTTACATCCCATAGTTTAGCCCATTCACTAATATGTTTTAAATCATCTGTAAGAAGTTGTGCAGACTGATCAGGATTGTTATCAACAATGACATATAGAGAGGTATCATCAGCAAAGAGTTTTACTTTACTTGAAACAAGATCAGTAATGTCATTTATATATAATAAAAATAATAATGGACCCAGAACTGATCCCTGGGGGACTCCTGCATTAACAGTTAAGTATGGGGAATAGAAACCTTCAGTACTTACTCGTTGATTCCTGTCAGAAAGGTAATTATGGATCCAAGATAATAATTTACCTTTGATTCCATAATTACTTAATTTTTTAACAAGACCTGTATGCCAAACCCTATCAAAGGCCTTGCTTATATCACAAAATACAAACCTAACTTCTTTACCTGTGTCTAAATTTTTTGATATTTCATGATAAATAGATAATAGTTGGTTTACAGTGGAGTCACCGGGTCTAAAGCCGGACTGATTGTTCGATAAAATGTTATTTGATATAAGATAGTTGTATAGGTATTTAAATAAAATCTTTTCAATAAGTTTACAAATACAAGAGGTAATAGAAATTGGTCTATAGTTAGCAGTATTACTCCTAGAGCCACTGCCTTTGAAAATAGCATTAACATTGGTCATTTTCCAGGAATTTGGCAGAAGACTAGAGTCTAAAGTTTTGTTAAATAATAGTTTAAGTGGCAGAATAAGAGATGGTGTTAACTTTTTAACAACTTTAGGAACTAAGCCATCAGGTCCAGATGGTTTTTTTTCATTCATGTTTTCTAACTGATCTTTGACATCCTGACTAGTTATTTGAATATTTGATATGGAGTAAGGAAGTTCCACAATTACATCATCAGGAAGTTCAAGGTTGTTAGATGAAGATGAGATAGAAGTGAAGTATTTATTTAGACAGGCAGCTTTTTCACTCGGGTGATAAAAAAATTCACCATTTGATTCCAGGGGGGGAATAGTGGATGACTTATTGTTAAATTTTAAAATGGTTTTAGCTATTTTCCACCATTTATCAGGGGGTATATTTTTATCATCAAGAGAATTTTGAAGTTTAACAATGAAATTAGATTTTGCTTCTCGAATAAGGCTGATTACTTCATTCCTAATTATTCTAAAGCGCGTCCAGTGATCGGGATTATTGGTTACTTTTGCCTTTTTATGAATTCTATTTCTTTGCCTCATTTTAGTTCTGATATTATGGTTCATCCAAGATTTATCATTTGGTCTTACTGTAATAGTTTTACATGGTGTATATCTTTCCATCTGCTCGGTGATTGCATTATTTATGATGATACTAAATTCATTCGAATCGGATTGGTTAGCTAGTTGTTGCCAATCCATATTTAGTAGACATTCATTCATTTGATTAAAATCAGCAGCGTCATATTGCCAGATTTTCTTTATATAAGAGTTTTGCTTAAATACACAATATGATATACTAATATGTACTGGGGAATGATCACTACAAAATGGATCGCCTACATGTGTACCTCTTATAATATTTCTATTGTTTGTAAATACAAAGTCAATGCAACTAGAGCTTTCTGGTGTAATACGTGTGGGTTCATTTATTAGATTGTATAAGTTAAATTTAGAAAGAAGTCTTGATAGGTGGGAAGTTGGTTGAAGAGAAAGAAGATTAACATTAATGTCCCCTACTAATAAAATATCTAGAGAAAGGTCTGATGCTTTTTCAAGTATGCCATCAAGTTTCGTCCAAAATTCAACATTTGAATCAGGAGGCCTGTATAGACAGCCTAATAAAAATGTATGTTTATTGATAGTTACTTCCAACCATAGTAGCTCAATATCATCTATTTCAAGATCATGTCTCCTTTTGGTTAGTACAGAATCTTTATAATAAACCAGTACACCACCTCCCTGTCTATTAAGTCTGTCTTTTCTATGAAGATTTATCGAATGAGAATCAATAATAATATCACTGTTTGGGATTTCAGGTTTAAGATGCGATTCAGTGATACAGATTATGTCATTGTTATTTAGTTCAGCTTCAATTAAGTCAGTTTTAGTACGTATAGATCGAGAATTCAGATGGACAATATCTAGATTTCCTAAGGGACCAGGGTTTTCCTCTATATCAGACGATACTGTCAATAACATGAGCATGATAATGTATATAAATGATAGGTTATTCCAATCTACATAACTACTTAATATTAAAGTTATTATGCTGTTGTTTAGGTAAGAAGGGTGGCATTGTTTTGGCAGCATACATACCTGGCGATATAAATATAGGGATGAAACACTTGATGAAAATAAATGAACAGACTCAAATGCCCTTGATATTGAAACAAGAGAGAACTTACCCATTGTCAAAAATGACAAAGATCAAGATCTGGAGCTGTTTCAAAAGGCACTCGAGTCTGTGATCCGGCAAGAATACATCCATGGCTGGCATATGATTGTTAAGCAAGGGTTTGGGAAGGGGATATAGGGTTTCTAAGAAGGGATACATAGTTGGTAACAAAAATACATACATGATATCTATATAGGTGGAGGAATCGTAAGGTTCCTCCATCAGACGCAACACATGGTGTAAACAAAGTTCGCTGTTATACGGAAGCTTTTTATACTATAATACAATCATATTTAATACAAACATTTCTATGATAAAGACTTTGTACAATCTCTTCGTGGCTTAAACATTATACTCCTAAAGTAGTATGTGAATAAGTTATCGAGTACATTTTCCTGGTAATGAGCTTAACAAGGATATAACACCAGGCTGATATAGTCTATAACACAAGATTAGCTATGGTTTATTCTTACATGTGGTTATATTTAGGACACCGTGCTTGTAATCACGCGTGTTGCGCGCGACACATAACATACGCACGTGGGTCGATGAATAGATGACTTTTCAGTTTGGGCAGCAGACCATGAATTGTTTGTAAACATTGAGGATTTTCTTAAAAAAATGGATTTGTCCACGAGGGAAATTGAGAAAATGCATGATACATATTGAGAGAGGTTAGATAACCTTACTAATATTTAATGATTAATAAGGTAAGAATGACACTAAAAGTAGTTGCTGTACACATAAGACTGATCTAATATTGTTGCAAGGATGGCAGGACATATATATATATGCTAGTCAAAACAGAAGAATGTCAGTAACACTAATGCAAGGGATATGTCAGCTCTTATACAGTGATTATGAAAGAGTTTGCTACTACTATTTGTCGACAATCAGGATTAGCATTGATTACGATTCGGTAACCTGGATAGGAAATGTATCTAATAAAATAGATACCAAGGAGAATTTGACAGATAAAGTAACACACCACATGTACACTGGTATTCTATAGTAAGGTTGACATATATGGTTGTCAGTACTATATATATATACCGTAGTATACGTTGAAACTACTATATA